CGTCTTCTGTTGGAACCGATCTTCACATCTCTTCGCGAAGTCTGCTTAGTACATGCCCTTGAGGCAAGAATCTGTGAGGGGTTTAGATGTGGCCAGTGGCTAAAATGGACTAAAATGCCCATATTTTTCATTTAAGGGAAGCTTCATTTGACTTTATTAATTCATTCCTAAACTGCATGTTTTACTGAGCACTCAATATTTGCATTTTCTCCTGCATTTGTCCAACTGGCCTCTAATGAAGATGACAACAAGCCAGATAAAAATAAATATAAAAAGCTTGTTATATTAAAGAGCCAGCCGTGAAACATAAAACAACATAATCTACTTTAAAATATATCTGAGCTAAGCTAATCTGAAGGAGGAGACAAATAAAGAGGTTTGGTTGCGAAATTGGGTAAACTGACAGTTCATCCTATCAACACTGAATGAATTTGGGCCACTACAACAGAAAAATAAAATATTGATATGAAAACCAAGATGGTTGGACCTTTTGTCTGGTCACAGTCTTCTTTAGCTGTATTTTGCCGGTTTGATCCAGCTTTCATAGTTTGGTCGGATCCGACGTAATACGATGTATCCTCTGCCACATTATTCATGATAATTTACAGCATCAATCTGGGAGGGTCCCAAGTCAACGGTCCGATGCCGGAAATCCTGAATTCCCTGGCAGAGGACACAAGACTATGTAGATCCCACAAGGTATCATGGTCGCTCTTACCAAGTTACTAAAACTAGATTAAACCAACAACATAAGATAATGACGCTTAACTAATGGATTTAAAGATTAATTAAGATAAATTAACGCTGACTCAGCATTTGATGGTTACTATGTCCAGATCAGTAATGATATTATGAGCTCACGTGTTAATAATTAATATCTGCTTTTGGTAGGGTTTAAGAGGAAATAGTTGCCTGGGCTAGAATTCAAGAAAATCTCTGAAATCTTCACTTCTTCTTGCATCACAGGGTGCTCCGATTGAGGCATATAATAACTAAAACTTTGCATTCACTTAAATAAACTGCTGGAAAGATACTGGCTTTCTAAATATTGGTGGTGATTGTTCTTGAATAATGATTTATGGTTCTAAAAATGTCCGTCGCACGACAGACGAAAGCTCAGCACGAAGTCATCGAGGTATTCACACAATTCAGAAGATAAAAATGTCAAGGCAGCTCTTCTTCGTCATTTCGTGGGCCCAATTTACGAAGGATTTCACCCACCTTCTCAGACGAAATGAAAGATATGTCAATATCAATCTACTAAGTGATTCTCCGAAACCCAGCTTCTCTTCATATGCCTATTTTATTTGTCGTCTGGACTTTCCAAGAAAGCTTGAGTAGACGATGCATTTCATCAAGTCTTCTTTAGTTATGCTTGAATACAAGTTCAATCTTTTCTAGACCTGATGCTCTTTTCTACCAGAATTCGATTATGGGTCGGGGACACTTAGGGGCGAGCATGGCAACCAAAAAAGTCCAAGATGTAGACGCTTTTGGGTCGCAGAAGGTCTATTTTTTCAAAAAGAGGCGGACCTCCTTTTACGTGATTTTACGGAGATAATTTATCGAAAAGCCAACATTATTTTTACACTAAAACTTTAGATTTTACTTCAAACATCAGGCGAATCATTGTATATAGCCAGACAGTCCATAAACGATTAAAACAGAAGGCCGACTAATGGCAACATAAATACGGGATAATAAATCTAATGAACCTTATCTGCCGAGATTTGCACTTTGAGTGATGCATAATATGTCTTACGTTGGTTTAAAACAGAGACAAAATTTGCCAGCTTATTTCCATTTCAAAATATAACATGTTAAGTAATGATACTTTTGATATTATCGCCAACCTCAATGGCAATAATGCCAGCTCATGCTTAATAAGACCATACGGGATTTAGCGAAGAGAATCAGCATAAGTGATATTCCAAATGCTGATTTAACTACGAAACAAACGCTAACATCATGCTATAATATTTAATTAATTTGCATGAGACAAAAGGATAAGTGCTTGTGCAGGAATTTTAGTTTAATCGGCATTCACAAATTCAATTAGGGATCATCAGAAACCCAAAAAAGATTTAAACTCGGCCAATACTGATTGTCATTTCGTTGTACGCTGATTGGCGCCACTTGGCTACAAGACAGATTTGGCTTTAAAAGTAGATGGAGCTTGTTTCATGTATATATTTATTTGGGTTGATTGTCTATATGCCATTAGAATAGACTATATTACTTATATTAAAGGCGAGTAGTATTAAAGTAAAACTTTAATTATAGATCGACTAACGACATTCAAGATTAAGAACTGAAATATGTAAGTAGTGCTCACTCCATTTCGTTTAAGGTGATGAAGGACTGGTAGTTGATTTTTTCACTATGCTATGAATTTCACATAGTATTGCCTTCTCAAAAGGTGTTCTCATCCCGGGTAGACCCCCGTTTCATCCTCGCATGACAGTGTAGCGTGTAAGCTCGACACGTTAACCACTAAACAACATTGCCACGAATGCCCTTTGGTCCTGAGCAGATGTGAAATTCAAAGAATGTGCGATACTTTCTATATCACATTCTGTGTTTGGAGTGTTGATCATGCAAAATTATATTTGCTATAGCAATCGACGACATTAGGTCTTAGCATAAATGATTAAGTTTGCTTAATCAACAATCCCAACACAGAATGTGATATGGAAAACTCCAGACTTTCCTTGAAATGCACATCTGCACTATGACCCAAGGGCACTTATGGCAATGTGGTACGGTGGCAACCGTGTCGAGTTTACACGATGCATTGTCATGGCTCGACCTAGGCAAGGTCGAAACTGCAGTCCATCCTGGATGAAAAGTCCTTTTAGAAAGGAGGGCTATGTAAAATTTAATAGAAAACATTAGCTCTACCCATACCATTGTAGGAAAATCAACTAATTACCTGGCACCTGGAATGAAATAGGGTGAAAACGATTCATATATTTGATTTACTGGTAGTCTCGAAGGCCTACTCATTTATGATTAACAGGTTAGCCTAGGCGCACTCGTACACATTTGGGAAAAGCACGTTATCGTTACTTAAGTCGCTTCAAACATTTGAGGGTGACTAAGTTATTATTCAAGAATTGTGGATAACTTAGAACGTACTCACACCTTACACAATATTTACTGATAGTACCGAAATATATATAATTGCACCTCTCCTTTACGGTCACTTATTATAATTCAAGCAATAATAGGATAATTAAAGATATGAAGACCAAGATGGTATGGCCTCTGTTATGGTCGCAGTCTCTTTTCGATTTATAGAAATCGGCTGACCTCGTCGTCGCAACTTAGTCTTGCTGTCAGGGCGACTTAGTAGAACGACTCTACTCTGAAGTCTTCTGCCATAGTTCCAAGCATCAGAAAATAGACTTGGTACATTCTCAAACGTTTCGCCGGCATCATCAGTGAGTTTTTCCGTTCCCCGCATCAAGCTACGAAATCGTAAAAGAGACCAGTGATGATGTCTACTACGATGCTGGCGAAACGTTTTGAGAACGTACCAAGTCCACCGTCTGATGCTGGGAATCATGACAACTACTATGGCAGACGACTTCGGACTAGGTGAGTTCTAATAAGTCGCCCTGACAACAAGACCAAGTTGCGACAATGAGGTCAACCCATTTCTATAAATCGAAAGAAGACTGCGACCATACTAGAGGTCACAACATCTTGTTCTTCATATCTTCAATTATCCTATTATGGCTAAAATTGTAACAAGTGGCCGAAAAGGAGAGGTGAAATTATATATTTTTTGGGACTATCAGTAAATATTGTGTAAGGCGTGAGTGCGTTCTAAGTTATCCACA